GGGGGGGGGGGGTTGTTTGCCAGAAACAAACGCTACGTGGACAAAAGGCCGTAGAGCCTGTGCACTTTGAGTTGTGTTATCCTGTTCTAGAAGTCTTTGCTGTCTGCAGAGCGAATCCAACAGAACGACTCCTGTTTAAATTTAGTTTTTAATTCAGCCCGTGTCAGTGGCAGGGATTTACCCATGATGCAGCGGTAATCTGAGCCAGCCGTGGCACGCTGTACTGGAAGTGGAGAGATTAATGCAAGTCAATACTGTGAGTATAAAAGAAGGACTTCCTGCTCACTCCTTATCCCTCTCACGGTTAAACACAGCTCACTGCGATATAGAGAGCAGTTCCTGCTGACTTCTCTGCTCAACTTGCATTTCCTTTCCCGGTGGGAATTTAGCTAGATGACGTTTTAAATACAATAAATACAATAAAAACGTTATTTGTGCAGCACTTTTGATTCACAGGATGCAGCTGGAAATGCTTTAACATGTTGACACACAAAACAAAATAAACAGGAAATGAAATCATGATTTCAAAAAGGTAAAAATAAAATAGTAGGTAAACAACAGATAACACAATCAGTCAAATGTAGACAAAAATAAGGCTTATTTAATAAATACAATAAAACAATCAAAAATAATAACAAAATAAATAACCGCCTTAGAAGTGAAATCATAATAATTAATAAAAAAATATTATAAAAAAAATAATAGTATTAATAAAAAAATATATTTTTATTATACCAAAAATTGAAATAATTATAAAAATTAAGACCAAAATAAGGGAATATATAAATAAATGTAATCACATTTTTTTAATTAAAAAACTACGTACAAGTAAAAAGCGGCGACTGTGGCTGCGAGGGGAGTCAAAGTCAACTTCATTGTCAATCTTCCAGTTTGTGCGTACAGAGAAATACTTTTCCCCACAATCACAAAAACAAATATGAGTGAGTGCCGTCGACTTTCAACGAGAAAGAAGGTTGTTGGGTCGGTGTGTGTGTGTGTGTGTGTGTGTGTGTGTGTGTGTGTGTGTCGTAGTATGTAAAGAGCCTTGAGGGGGTAGAGCGCTATAAAAAAGTGTCCTTACTGTAAGGTAATTATTATATGTACAGCACTTTGGCTCGACCGTGTGTGTGTGTGTGTGTGTGTGTGTGTGTGTGTGTGTGTGTGTGTGTGTGTGTGTGTGTGTGTGTGTGTGTGTGTGTGTGTGTGTGTGTGTGTGTGTGTGTGTGTGATCTGTGTGTGTGTGTGTGTGTGATCCGTGTGTGTGTGTGTGTGATCCGTGTGTGTGTGTGTGTGATCCGTGTGTGTGTGTCGTAGTATGTAAAGAGCCTTGAGGGGGTAGAGCGCTATAAAAAAGTGTCCTTACTGTAAGGTAATTATTATATGTACAGCACTTTGGCTCGACCATGTATATAAATAAAACTTGATTTGATTTATTAAGTGCAGCCCATTTTAGAATTAAATAAATACAAAATCAAGACCAAAATATTAAGGATTATATTAACAAAAAAATTACATTTGAGCTGTGATTTAAAGATATCGTGGAAAGGTCTTCTTCCACGATCTTCTTTATATGATTGATGATTCATTCTCAGTCCCCGGGTTATTCAGAGGGAGGAGGGAGAGACACTCAGTGTTACATAAGAGAGCTTTCAGCCTCTCACTGCATCACGGCACACATCCTGTCTATCACACACACACACACACACACACACACACACACACACACACACACACATA